TAGTAGCATCAGACAACTAACCTAGCAGCAAAAGACAACTAATCTAGCAGCAAAGACAACTAAGCTAGCAACATCAGACAACCAACATATCAGCTACAGGTAACTAACCTAGCACCATCAGACAACTAACCTAGCAACATCATACACTATATAACCTAGCAGCATCAGACAGCTAACCTAGCAAAAAATAACCAAAACATATTACTTTAATCTATTAAATGAAAGAATGAAAAACCTAAGATCGAAAAAGTTATTACAAACAAAAACAACAGCAAAAATACTCACCAATTTAAGACGAGAATCTGCGAGAATAGACTACGAAGGATAAAACGGAAACAGGAATTGAGACGTACCGCCCGCGAAATCGAAATCGAAATCGAAAATGGAAGAGAATGGAACAGAAACAAGGAGCAAGTGCGAAAATGGAGAGGGAAAGTAGAGTAGAGAGTTCTGAAGACGTACCGCCCGCGAAATCGGAAATATTGATTAATGTAATAAATTAATTCTGAACGTTAGATTAGATGAGTGGTGAACGGACCAGATCAGGTCTCACGTCCTCACTTTTAAAAACGGGGCGCATCTGAACCATTCCCTATATATATATATGTATATGATTATTGGCTCAACAATTATCGTATAATAATAATTAGATAACAATAAATCAAAATAAACCAAATATATAAGTACAATTACCTCAAAATACCATAAAACAATAATCAAATAGAGACAATAAATTAAAAATATATGCATGTACATAGGCTTAATAATTTGTCATACAATTATAATTAAATAAATAATACTTAAAAATTATGTGTATGAACTTAATAATTTCTCATAGGATAGTAATATATCGTTCTTTTATATATATTTTTTTATTCAATACAAAAGAAAAAAAAATCTGTATTTTTTAATAGCATGTAATTTATTTATTTATTCATGTAGATATTATTTCAGTGATTTTCTATCTAGTTAGCATTATTTCAGTTTTTAGCGAAAAAAAAAATGTCTTAATTAATATGAGTATTTGGCACAATTAATGGAACTAGTTTTTGTCCCGTGCATTTGCACGGAAAATTATATAATACATGAAAAAATAATAAAAATTATAAACAATAGTAAAAAATCATAACAAAATCATTGAAAAAAATTAAGAAAAAAATATAAATATTCTTAAACACTTCTTTATAAAACAACGTCGTGTTTTCTATCGTCAAAATCTCTCTCAACTCAAATCAAAATCTTAAAATCCCACTGACTCGTAACTCTAAAAAGCGTCACGTATAATTGCTCATGACTAAATGCTGAGCTCTTCAGTAGTAAGCCGACGTGCGACAGAGACTATCTTTGACTCTTACTGATCATGTCATAGCATAGGAAGCACTTCTTTATATTGTTTGTCCTTGACTCTTATTGATTGATAGAGATTGTCCTTGCTTCTTAATAAAAAAACACCATCTAAATATAAATGAGTAAATATAATATTAATTTTTTATATAAACAAAAAATTTAAAGATCTATAATAGATCTGTAAATATATGTATTTTTTTGAGTTTTTTTTTTTTTTAAAAAAAACTCGTATCATGAGCTTTCCATTAGGGTTAGCTTCCAATGGACTGGAACCGCCCGCATCGTGATTTTAAGAGGCCGATTAAGGCCCTTTTGTTATATTTAATCACAGTCAGAATTTTTTTTACGTATGTTTAATTTTTTTTTCGTGGATTCAAGTTATTTCAACGATGTTCTTTTTATATATCTAAGATTTTTTTTTCCTTAATATTTTATCAAACAATGAAAAAATCCTAAACTTTTTAATGTTCTAACCAGTATAAATGTACATTTTTGTCAAATATATTATTATTATAGCTAAATAAATAAGTAATATTAAATAGTATTTATCGTAATTCATTATATTTGTTGTAGCCTAATAAATAAGATATTCTGATTACAATTTCATTATATGTAGACGCAATATATATAAATATGCTCTAATTCTTTTAACAAATAAATATTATTTGTGAATTGAATAAGAAAGAAATAAAATGAAATAGTAATTCAATGGGAAAAGAAAAAGTTTGAATTATCTTAGAAAAATATGAATACCAATATTTGAAACAAAGTCTTTTAAAATTACTAATTTTTTTTGCTAGCGTCTAAATATATGAACTATGTAAGAAATTAGTTCTCACAAATAATGATCCTATATTATCAAGAATTTTAAATATAGTTAAAATAATAAAAATTTTGTAAGACATAACATAAATTTTTATAATAACTTCGTAATAATAAAGTTCACAGAGCGACTAAGAGTATCATAATATAATAGAATTATAATTCTTCTCTTCTCAAATATTTAACAAATGATATGTTTCTTAATATTGTCTCATTGTTTATTTTTTTATTTTTTTTTATTTTTATTTTTTTGTCCAAGAAAGGATCTTTATCTTGAATTTTTGAAGCATTATGTATGATGCAAAAAAATTGAACAATAAAAGCATTAAAGAAGTTATTAGGCACATAAGTACTGCAAATTCGAACGAATATGAAAGATATTATGATAAACAACGCAAAAATCATTGTAACAACCAAGATGGTCAATGATTTGCAAATAATAGATTTTTTGTCTTCCAAATAAATAACATTGAAAAATAAATGTCGAAGCCTGATCAAAACATTCTTGAATGTTTGAATGAAATTGTTTCTTTTTTATAGGAATATTTACAATCTCATTGTGTATTTTGCTCGAACATATGTGCAATTACTTTATAGAACGTACTTTCATGTAATATGATGATTTCAAAAAGTAGTTGGAGGATGATTGGATATAAAAAGTTTTTGTTTTGATTGTATTTTTGGTTTGGGTTAGTTAAATTTGAAAAAGTTAGTATGGTTACTTGTTAGTGGATATATTAAAATAATATTTAAAACAAAATGATTAAAATTAAATTGATGTATAAGTAGGAGAGATAAGATGTGATGTGATCGTTATTTAAAATTATATAAGTTGATGAATAGTGAATTAAAGTTGATGTTGTGTATAAGAATGATTGATTGATATTATTTAATTATATTGATTATATTGATGATAATGGGGTTGAGTTAAAGTTGACTTAAAAAAAGTAGTTGAGCTAAAAATGATTGGATTTTTTGAGTTGGATTTATATCCAATCATGCTCGCGTCTCCGGAGAAGTACATGTGACTAAGATTTTGCAAAGTCAATTTTTATTTGAAAATGAAATTCATTCCCACCCCGTGGGCCAATGTTTCCATGGAGCAGGTACCAATTTTTCCATATGGACATAGTAATGAAGTACATTATACGATGATAAGAAATATCAACAATTTAATGATATAGTTGGTTATTTTACAAAGATATTCATGAACTGTTAGTAGAAATACCTTATGCAGATCATACAATATGAAGTTCGACTATATGTTTGACCAGAATCTTTATAAGTGTTTGAATAAAGTATACGTTTTGTCAAATGAATTAAGAAGAATTTTACAATACTATTGATATACTGGGCTCCAAAGAATATTTCTTATGAAAACGTTAAAACCAAAACGAAAGAAAATTACTCTTTTTATTAGTCTTTTTTTTTTTTTTCACTTAGGGACTATATTTTTGTTGGGGTGGTAATATGTCATATTATTTTTTTTATATTAGGACATCAATATGCTATTTAACAAAATATATTAGAAGCCCATATTTGTTATATATTTTATTTCATTTTTGCAAGGATATGTTTAATGAATTAAGTAATTTATTTTTACTAAATTTAGTCAGTAAAAACATTCACCACCACATGCGATGCACGTGCACTTTACTAGTGGAATTAAATGTTGGACTTTCGTTTATGTTGCCTTTATTATAGTGTGTTATTTTCTACTTTCGGGCAAGGGTATTACATTTGTGGGCAAAATTACAAAAATGATACACTAAGTTGGGCGTTGTTAACAAAAGAGACAATTTGTTGTCCTTCACGGAAAAGATACACTTAGTTGGCTTTTTGCACGAAAAAGATACAAAATTACAAAAATGATACACTAAGTCGGGCATAAGCAATCCAAAGTCAGGCATAAATGATACACTTAGTGTATCGTTTTTGTAAATTTGTATCTTTTTCGTGCAAAAAGCCAACTAAGTGTATCTTTTCCGTGAGGGACAACAAATTGTCTCTTTTGTTGACAACGCCCAACTTAGTATATCATTTTTGTAATTTTGCCTACATTTGTGATAACATTAAGTTGGCCTAATAGCAGAAATACCAAATAAATTATTATTTTTGTCAAGAATTTGTCTTATTGTTTCTAAAATATTTTTGCATTCGAACCAATTTAATCTTCATTGATATTTCCATGTTCCTCACGATATTCGTTTTCCTCTTCTCTTTTTCTAGAAAAAGATGCGTGCGCGTATTGAGTGCTAGGAAACAACAAAATTTTGAGAACGCGGTAAGATCTTTGTGGTTAAATGGCTTTGCCATACGCATTGGTTGGTTAATAATTGAGTTTTGTGAAGTCTATTTCACTCCTAACATATGCAGAGTAGTCTGATTGGGCCTATTTACTTTCATCCTTTTCTGAACTGCGTAGCTTTTACTACTACATAAATATGAAGTGTGAAAGGTATCTTATGTGTAAAGTATAAGACAGTACCTTTGCAAAATAAGTAATGTAAATTTTACTGTGCCAACTGGCAATAAAATGGAGAGACAAATGATGGTATTTGGCTGGCCTTCCAAGTGACGTCTATTTTGATAGATAGTTGGACCGGAAAATCATCAGTATTGTATTCATGAATCGAGCAGAGGTGAACATGAAATTTAATTGCCTTTATGTAAAAAATGAATATATTCATTTGATGGTTTGGCTGGAATCGAAGGCCACAAGATTAAACAAAAGAAAAAAAATAAACGAGACCCCTTAAATTTCATTCGTGTGAATACAAAGGGGGATTACACAAATATATGTAGCTATTAACCACAGAGAATAACACCGTAAACAACTCCATACATATATAATTATAATTAATAACATCATCATTTAATTGTCGTCTGTTACAAATACAGTTTGACTTAAATCACGCTCAATTATGTTTCAAACACTAGTATGTCCTTTGATGAGCGTAGCATTAATTTAATTACACTGAAAGGGACATACTTAAGATGAATACACATGTTACATTATCAATGAGTTTTATTATTTACAAGAAATTAAGTGTATAATTAATATGACAGGCTTGTTTGATGATAATCAACATAGAATAACAGGCAGGCAGTAGCTAGTGTGAGTTCCAAAGATGGATTTGGTCGGTTGAGGAGGAAGTTGAAGCATTATTTTGTTGTGTCATATCTTGTTGCTTGTTCAAATCTCTCGAGACTAAGTTCGAATCCTGAGTTGGTGTGAATGCATGATGGTTGTCTTTGTCATGGCTCAATTGAGATGCCACAAACTTGTCTAGCAACCTCCAATCCGTCACTTGATCCTCCGACCCTTGGCTGTTGTTGTTGTAATCCGCTTGGAAATTGGGGTTGTCTAGGGTTTGCAAACTATTATTATTATTAGTATTATTATTATTGATATTGATGTTGATCAAGGATTCGAAAGCGGGCCCAGAAGCATGTGGTTGGAGCATCTTATTAGGGTTTTGTAAAACTGGAAGTTGATGATGAAGAAAATGATGAGGGTTTCCCGGGTAGTGCATCTGCATCTGCATTTGCATTTGCATCTCATCTTTGTTGTAGGGTTGTTTGGGGGATTCCATCTGATCTGGCATCAAAGAGTCATACCACTCGTGCTCGTTTAGCTTTTGGGTCAACGCTATCCTTTTCTTGAAAACCCTGCACACCACCCATCCTTCTTCTTGACCGCTATTTCCATTTTCATCACTCTCCAGTCGATATTCGTGCATTATCCAATCTGATTTCTGACCATTAGGGGCTCTTCCTTTGTAGAAAACCAAAGTTTTCCTCATCCCAATCAAATCATGCTTCGAATAAATCGCCTTATCACGACCCGTTGCTTTCCAAAATCCAGCACTTGTGGCTCTATTCGTGCGAGTACCAGTCGGGTATTTCTTGTCTTTGTGGCTAAAAAAGTACCAATCGCTTTGCTCTTCTCTTCCTAATCTGCATAGCTCTATCCAAAATCAACAAAAAATATATATATATCAGATTTATTTATTGCTTTCAACCTACTACATAAGGCTAAATTTTATTTTTAATACACTATGCTGGTTATTTTTTGTTTTTCTGAAAAAAAGTTCATTATATAGGGCGTCATGAAAATTGGACTACTAAGTTGGCATTTTAATAAAAAATAGTACAATAGTCAACATGTACTAAAAATGACAACAAAAAATAATCACTTATAGCACACTATGTCGGTTATTATATGAATTTTGATTAAAATGACAATTTAGTGGATCATTTTTAATGACGCTCTGTTGGACTTTTTTTGAAACTGACCAACATAGTGGACCATTTATGAAATTTTGCCTACAACTTAATGCACCAAATATTTTTATCTTATCTTTCTCCACTCAAACATGCTTCACCTTGAAGATCCCATGGCTCGATTTTGTACAGATCGACATCTTTGATCACGTCTAAATCAATATTCCTCGATGTAACCTTTCTCCGAAGATAATAATCGACCAGTTCTTCATCTGTGGGATGGAATCGGAAGCCAGGAGGAACGTGTGTCAATGTATTCATACTTAGTATTTAACCTCACACCTGCAAATATTCATTATTCCGGCCGATTACAAAAATGTGAAGCAAATGAACAAATATATCATTGTCATCATCAATGTAATTAAATTCTTTATAGATTCATCAACTATTGTTGCATATAGAATTAAAACAAGGATTCATCATATTAAACATGTGATAGTGAAATATTATACGTAAGGTGCAAATTAGATGATTTTAAATGTGTTTTAATATACATACATGTATATATAACTCTATTTTAGTTGTCCAGCTCCAGGATAAGAATAAAGCATAGACAAACAGTGGAAAAGCAGTACATAAAAAATTGATTGGCGTGTATACATACCATTGGTGCAGTTAAGGTTTGTGGCGTAATTTGCAAGTCAGTTATACATTTTAAGTTTGTGAATTACACAGCCTCATCAAATTAAAGAAAAACTAGTTTAATCATTGTATTCTATATTTGGACCACCTCACTTTATGAAATGAAGCAAAAAACGAAATGGCGTGAAACCGAGTTCTGGAAAGCCACTTATTTACAATAATGATGATCACTGTCATCGAGCAAATTCAATTCACATGAATTCCACTAATTAAAAACAAGAGTGGCACAATTTATTAACAGTAATTCAGATAAATTAGTTAGCTAATAAGGGCTTGTTCCATTATCACGTCGTGTGAAAGCAAATTAATTAAAGGGCATACAATTCCCTACTTTAGAGTGTTCAATGTGAAACAAAATATTACGAGGCGATCAATTCCAATCAAATGGTCCATAAGATTTTATTTTTAATTTTAAAAAATCAAGTCGATCTCCTTAATTCATTACTTAAAAAGAATTTCATGAGTCACTATGTATTTCATTTAACAACTTCATACAGCCATTGGTTGGTTCCTATGGTTATTCAAGAATATGGCATGTAATAACTAATATATAAATGCATGAAATCAAATTCTTGGCAACAAAAAAACGAGTAAAAATTAGAGGGAATAGAAGAAATTGAAATGAAAAATGATTCTTGTCAAGCAATAAATTAAAATCTGCACTTTTTCTTTCGGAGAATTTAATTTCATTAAAAATAATCCTTATCTACAAAATTTAAGACAATATAATCTACTACTCTATACAAAGGCACTTTACTTTATCCAGCGGAGGATAATCATGATTCTAACATCAACTCAATCAAGACTTGGATTTGAGAACAAACAAAAGCACTGGTAATGAATAATAAACAAACCTTGAGATTTTTGTGAAAAATCCCAGTGATCTGAGATTCAGCAATTCGATCTTGCACTTTGTGAAGAAGTATATGGCCCGAAACCCAAGATAATAAGTAAGAAAACAAAAGTAGGGGACAAGAAAAGGACAAACACAGAAAAAAAAAAAAGAGAATAAAAGTTGTTCTCGGGACTTGAAACCCTAAGCGTTCACGCAGTGTCTTCTAGTTGTTGGCCCGGCCCGATATTATGTGAACATAAAAATAGGGTTTCGTTTGGTAATCGAAAATAGAAAAGAAAATGAAAAAGCCCAATTATATACATACATATATGGTATGGGTGGGCGAGGGGAAGAATGGAATGGTGGGGGAAGATGGGTCTTAAATATAAGAAAAAAACACCACCAAAATTCACTACTTTAGAGAGAGGGAGAGGAAACCTAATAATGATGAAAGGTTAAGTAGATTGATAATTAGCTTACATATTTTATATTTATTAATTTTATTCTCTCTCTCTCTCACGCTGTCAATACTGAGAGAGCTAAATTGCTGGGAAAGTTTTTTTATTTTCATTTTTTCTCTTCTGTTTTTTAAAGAGAAGAAGAAGAAGAATTGGGCCGAGATAGGAAAGGTGGTGCGGAGTATTGGATTTGGCCACCCGAAACTGAGAGTGACCTTTGATATTAATTGACATTTTAGGACATGTTTGGATTCCCTTCATTCACATTCTCCATAATTATGCATTCTGAATATGTAAACAAAAATCTGAAATATTTAATAATTTTTGGTAACTTAGTATTATTCTACTTTGATCCTCATTCTAATTTCCTCCAAAGAGTTGGTAGCAAAAATATAATATTGAACAGGGGCGGATCTAGAAAATTGCATGAGTGGGGGCCTAAATTGTTTATGTAACTAATCACGGGAATCATAAAAAGAAATTATAAGTTGCGATTTAATATATTTTTTTTTTCAAAATCTTATCTCATCTGTAAATAGAATAATAAAAGTGAGATATATTTGAAATTGTGAATGAACACAAGATAAAAATATAATGATCAACAAATGAAAACATGTTCGTAATTAATAATATTATTATTAGAAAGTATAAAATAACATGAATTTATTATGTTTTAATTGTGTTACTTGTAGATAAAAAGGTGGAATGAAATAATATTATTTTATAATTTTATTTTTATTGTTTTCTTTGTTCCAACACGATAAATCATGAGAATGAAAGAAAAGAAAAAAGTCATATATCTAACCGATGTTTCTCTTTTTATTTTGTTTTAAGTTTTTTAAAAAATATATTAACCATTAATCATAAATATAATTTAGAATTATTTTCATGGAAACTTGTATATTTACGTATAATATTAATTAACTAATTTTTTTTAGTCTTCTTACTTAAGTCATATTAAGTAGTTAATAATTATATATAAGTTCAAATTTAAACAAAAAAGGACAAATAATGTTGATGTGTAAAAATAAAAAATAAATATAAAGTAATTAATGATGGATAAACAAAATGCTATAAGTCATTTTATAATTTGAAGAGAGAGGTACAATTATATCTTCCCTACATAATGCAAATTAAATTATTCATTAATTGGTTTATATATAATGCTAAGTAATATAGTGTGGGCCTAGGCCCAATCTCGTCTCTTAAAGGCTCTGCCCCTGGTATCAAACATGTTAGATTCTCAAGTTTCAAAAAAAAAAGAAAAAAAAAAATATATATATATATATATATTAAATAATAATAATAATACTAATGTTATGGCTACATTCTAAACACATATGACTACTTATACTACCTTCTATATAATTTTCCTAAATATGCTGAGTGTAACTGGCAGTCTCGTATGCTTCGTTATCTTATTTAGTAAAATTTCATGCTTCGTCGGTTGGTTTTGATAACTTTTAATTTAATTCCAATCGATTAATAATTAAACTTTGAATTATCCGTAAACGTACTTGATATTTATGATCATTTTATGAACATTAATTGTATTTTAAAATAATTTTTTATTCAGGATGTGATCTATAACGAATGAAATTTTTTTCCTCAATCTTTCTTTTTCTCCCAATCTTTTTTTGTGTAAATATAATATAGTTCACTAACTTAAATTGTAAATATATTTTAAAAGTTAATTTTTACATTTATTATTAAATTTTTATATATAATATATCAAATCAGTCATCTGTTCATCAGCATCTATTTGACATCCATATTTTATAATAAAATAAATAATAATACAAATAAAAATGAAATCATTTATTAATTTTAGTTTTGAAAAAAAATCTATTATAAATTAAATAAATTTAACTAAAAAGTAGTTATATATAAGTTAAAAAACTATTATAATATAAGATGATTAAGTAGTATATGTGATAGTTTCATTTTAAATATAAATGATGCTTTCAAGAAAATATTTAAAATTTAAAACATACATTTTTTTTTCTAAATTTATGTATATATTTTTTAACAATCATTCGTGTAATACACATGTATTGTCCTATTACTTCTTAAATTTAGGTATCATTTTTTTAACAAATTCACGTGCAGTACACGTGCATTGAACTAGTTAAATATAATTCTTTTACTTACATTATTTTTAGATTATGATATATTTAATAAAATATTCATATTTGTAAATATAGTATTGTTGTCGCATGGATTTGTAACAACACCATTAACAGGTATGTGACATTGATTAAAGCGATAAATAGCGAGAATATGAGATTTTAATAAGAAGTAAATGGTCGGTGTGTTCTTGACTGAAGTGAAGATAGTTCTGAATGTCCCCCTCCACTGAGCCAATTTTTAGCTATATATAGTAACTTTTTGTACACATTGTTCGAGATTTCCCATTATTCAGGAATTCAGGAATTGCGTGAAAAGTAACTGTAAATGGGCGGTTTGATCAGTTGGGCCCACGATCACCATGACGTTGGACACGAAATGTAAGGAGGTTGAGTAGGCGTCTTGTCACCTGCTTTGATATTGATGAATTCGGTTGTCTCCGAGGTGGGTTGTGACGTCGGTAGGTGTCTGTCTTGCCAGGAATTTGTGGCATGTCTGTAACAGCGTGAAGTCGGTGAGGGCTTAGGAAGTAGGTCCAGATGGCTTGTCATGTCGGTAAGAAGGCATTGGTGAGAAGGCATATGTTCGAGGTCATGTGTCTCTTGTGAACGAGGAGACGTTTTCGGAGCTAGTCGACGTCGCTACTATTATCTTATATCGCTGTCATTTACGATTGCATTATTCGTGATCTGATCTGCTTCAATATAATCAACGAATTACCAAGTCGGTGGTCAACAAGTGTGTATACTAATTATTTTGTCTTTAAATCCCATGTTTTGAAGAATTTTTACCGAGCATGAAAACTCCCTATAAAATAAAAATTTTGGAAATTCAATTCGCAAGTCATAAAAAAAATCAATAACTCCTAAATATTATAAGTATAAGTATATATTCTAGAGACAAATTTTTAAGAAATAGTGTCCTTGAAAATAATCAATTTATATCAGATATATTTATACTTTTGCATCAATTAAATAATTATTTTGATTATTTTGTAATATATTTTTTAATTTCTTCTTTGAGTTAATATAGGCAATAACTGTAATATCCCGTTCTTTTATTAATAAAAATAATATTTTTAGTTCCCAGTTCGAATGATTTTTACTTTTATTAATATCGCTCGTTTATAGTTTTCGAGCCCAGTTATAAAGTCATTCAGTTATAATGTTCCGAGTTCGAACTATTTTTACTTTAAGTTGAAAATCGATTCAGTTTTAAGTTTATTCAGTATTAACCGAACAAATTCCGGTAATTAATTCCGAACCGTTTATTTTTATAAACGAACATTAATATTCGAGATTAATTATTCTAAGTCGACGAGATAATCGATGTCGAGAATATTTCAATAAATCATCGAGATTAATTCGCGATCGAAACCGAACAAGTTCGGTTTAATTAGTATCGAGTATAGTTTAAACCCTAATCGGACTTATGTAGTATTTTTTCTTAAAATTTTCATAAGTACTTAGCTACAAATTAAGTCTTCAATTAGTCCTAAACCTAAGTTAGTGTTTCGGTTTAAGAAGTTCACACAATTAAATGCCGCGTACGGTTGCTCTCACGCTAGCTCGCGTCTTCCTCCCGCCATCTGTTCATTATTGTGCACAAGTGAGGTTAGTCCCAATATTAATGACCTATCTTAAGGTTAGTACGGTCAAAGTCCTTAGAGTACCAAGAATTCTTAGAATTTTTGTAAGAAATTCACCTAAGACCAAGACTAGGTCCACATAAAGACACTTGTTTTCACCTTGAATTTTCTTAGACCATTACTCATCTCCCACCTCTTAACCACGGCTATATGAGCTAAGTACCAGGTGAAATGAAGTCTTTTACTTCAAAGACGCAGCACACACATAGAAATTAGGAGAAAAATCGAAAAATAGCAACCAAGTACTTGTACGTGCGTGATTGTCACGAGAAGAAGCCATAGCACCATCTTCTTTGATCTCTTGCTTAGTGATTTGAAGAGGTAAGAACCCAAATATTAGCATGTTATATAGCTGAGTTACAGAGCTTTAATATATGCTAGGATAAGCTGAAAGTTCAAGTTTTCAAGTGAGCATAAATTTATAATAAGTATAAGGGTTCTTCATTCATGTACATGAAGCATAGGTCCTGTTTGAGGTTGATTCTGTGCATGCTATGATTAACCTAGTGAAGTAAGCTTAACATTTGTAATTCTTGTACCTGTGCTGAGTATTTGCATGAAAGAATCATGTCATTTGGATCATTATAGCTCAAGTTATAAGTATTTGAAGTTTAATGTGCAAAGTGATTTTCGAGTGCTGTGTTTCAACTGCCACTTCAAATGCGAATATCTCAGTCCACAGACATGCTATTGACATGAAATTATTGTGAAATGTTACAATATGAGTTAAAAGTATGACTATTCAATTTCAGCTAAAAATGATGAGAAATGAGCAAGATATAAATGTTAGTCTGCCAGCATGTAAAGTTGATATTTGTTGCAATAGAACTCAGCCTACACTCATGATTTTGATGTGAAATTTTTATAAGTATGTCTTGTATATGTTTTGATTATTGTGACCAAGTTTCAGCTTCAGAAGTTAAGTATGGTATTTTATAAAATTCTTAGAAGAAAGAAGGGTCAAATGCATGTTTATATGCAAAAATTGATGTAATTGTTTGACCTAACAAATGAGCCTAAAATTAGCTCAAATTATAACTAAAAATACATGTATAAATGAAGTATTTGACTGCTAATTTTTAGTAATTCTGGAGGTATGTATGATTTTATAAAATCATGAGGTTTTAAGGGGTCTATTAAGCATATTTAGTTGTTTAAGTGTATTTGCTTGAACATAAGTATTTACCCTTTCATGAGCATACATTGAGTATAGTAGTTGGCCGGAAAGTGTTGCCAGTCCGGACCAGTTCA